ACATCAATTTGATACGCGTACTAACCAATTTAACGGTGTAAAAAGGGTCAACGAAGAAAATTTTTGACTGTGATTAGTCAATTCTTACAACTACGCTTACGCAATCGTAGAATAGGCTTAAGGTGTTCCATTTCCAAGGATGCAAGGATGCATTGTTTTAAACATGGCGGCTGCTGTTTGATCAATCAAAACGTTGCTCCAAATTGTAAAACGAAAAATGATGACTACCATGGCTGGTATTCATAGTCTGTTCTTATTTCAAGACCGTCTTAAGTAATGTCTTAAGAACGCTAATGCGGTCCTTTGATTAGTTCGTGATATCTCAAGGCAGAACTTAAGACGGTTTTGAATATAAAAACTGACTATGAATACTGGTCTATGTGCATTCCACTAACTGTGGGGCAAATATTTGATTGGTTATTTCTAACTTAGACCAATATTCATATATTCGATTCTTATATTTAACCCTTGAGAGAGAACACCACACTATTTTCGCCACCTGATTTCACCACACATGGGTAACCCTGGAGTCTTCTTTTGCTTTTATCCCGAGATCTAATGCATCAATTTTAACTTTTTTCTTTTTTTTAATCGATCAACAGGAAAAAGAATATATAGATAAGAATATCATAAAACTTTCGGTAATCAAGATATTTTGAAAAAAAAGAAGAAATTGGGTTACCGTAAGGGTCTGAGCACAAGAATTGTCGGAACGATCGTAACGCTTACTTAGGCCGGAATCAGACTACTATTTGAAGATTTAGATTGAAGATTGAAAAATTCAAATTTGACCAATCGAAACGAAAGGAGCTAAAATTTCTTTGTCCTTATTGGTCAAATTTCAATCTTCAATCTTCAACCTCAATCTTCAATGCGTAATCTGATTCCGGCCTTAGAGATTTAAGTTGTAGACGTAAGTAATGCACAAGTTTTGGCGTATGACGTATGACTTATTACCGTGTCTCTAACCCCGGATCTACAATAGAGTTTTAAGTCTTAAGCCATAAGAAATGGACGAATTCTAGTCGATTATTCTCCTCGTATTCGACTGTGATTGGTCAATTTCTTACGATTTAAGGCTTAAAACACCTATTGTGGATCCGGGGCAAGAGACGGCAATGGCTGCGTTCAGCAGAACGTTTGTTTTGCAACTGTTGGAAGTTTCCTTCGCGCTAATTGGATCATACTTTTAGATCTAGAAAAATGGTCCTATCTCAGCAGACAATCATAAAACGGTTGCAAAACTGTTGAGTCTGCTGAACGCAGCCATTAAGTCATACGTCATACGCCAACGCTTCTGCGTTACTTACGCCTACAACTTAAGTCTCTAATGCGGGGTCTACAATAGAAGTCGTAGTGGTCGTAGGGTTTTAAGTTGTAGAAAATTAACCAATCACAGTTAAATATGAGAAGAATAATCGACTAGGATTGGTCAATTTTTTACGACTTCTATTGTAGATCCCGCATGCGACAATTATTGTGCTCAGACCCTATCCCAATGTGGTGTTCAAGGGTTAAGATCGTCTTAAGTACAATCTTAAGATGTTATGAACCAATCAGAGGGTCGCATTACCGTCTTAAGACATTACGGTCTCGAAATAAAAACAGACTATGAATACCCCGGCCATAGTCTGCCGCCATTAATATCTAGCTTAATCGTTTAAGGCTTTCATTTCTTAGTAATTCAATATTTATATTATGATCTTAAAAAACACTTATCTAATATTGTTGTAATATTTAATTTACATTTATTTTTATTCCTAATATTTCCTCCATTATGTGCAAGACCTAAAACAAACGATCGGCGAATTATCATGCACAATTGAATTACTTTAAAATTTTAAAGAAACATTTGGCAGATATCAGACAATTTTTAAAATGACATGCTGATTCCACAGTGAGTCGGTAGTCCTAATTACTTACGATTCATTGTAAAATCAGCTTTTGGTCTAATCAGTTTGCGTTACTTGAAATCCTAAAAAATTTTTGCGCTCAAAAAATGACATAAATAATTCGGGTGTTGAAGAGAGAGAAAGCGAAGATATCAAATGTAAAAAGTGCAAGCAACAGATCTCTTATTAACTCGTAAATGAATCAAGTAATTCAGTCAATCTTACAACTAAATATTAAATAAGTGATTCAAATGAGATGGAGTCATTTCGGCAAGACGAATGGCGTGACGAGGATAATAATTACAATTCCTTATATTTATTTGTGACATTTCTTTCTCGACTTCACGTAATATAATATTCAGTAACTTTATTTACAAGTCATCGACCCACAGTGCATAGACTAAATATACTTTAGCGTTTGCTCGGGAATCGATTTATTTACAAAAACGTGTTTTCGAGTTACGGAACAATTTTTAAGTCCAGAAATGTAATCGGACAAGTGTCTCATTCGCAAATATGTTCCATGAAAGCAGAAGTGTAATCACTGCAATTGCGTCTTATAAAAAGATCGAATGAATGTCCCCTTGCGCATCTCACAATTCCACTGCTTCTGTTCTTTCACCAAATATTGGTAAACAAACTTCGTCGTCATCCAAGAAACGCGAAGCTAAATGTAAATACGATACGCTGCTGAAAACGTAGCAATACTTTGTCTCGAGAGAATAGAAATCGCTACCACCAAGCCGACAAACATTATATTCGACGAAGAAACGAGTCCCACAAATATATCTCTATGTTAACGCTAGGACGATCAGCTTTTTCAAATTTCTTTATCGTCCTCATATAATTTTTAAAAATAAATATTAAACATCTTTAAAAAAAAAAAAAAAAAAAAAAAAAAAAAAAAAAAAAAAAAAAAAAAAAAAATTGCAACTCAAACCGGATGTAGAACAATGAAAAGTGGCGATTTTGAATCGTAGTTATCATTCGAAATCGGTACGAGACGTCTCGGTCGTTCTAGTATTAGAACATCTTTCAACGTTAAAAGAACCTCGTTAAAAATTGTTTACTGAACTTTGTTTCGTGCTTCTATTAACACATATGTTGCCCATCTGAAAGGACACCACCTCTGGAAGCCAATTTCACAAATTTATTTAAATTATTTACCGTCTGCAAAAAAAAATTAAGTTCAAAAAATGCGAACCGCGCGCGCGCGCGCGCGCGCGCGCGAAACACTGAATAATATAAAAATATCTCCATGTAATGCCTACGTAACTGTACTATTTAACATTCAAAGCTCGATTGGCTTGCTCACTTTAACTGAACATAAATCCATCATGCACTAGCGCGTGATTTTCAGATGGACAGCGAACATATTAAGAAACCAATTTTTACACATAATACATGCTTTTTATGTTTATACATTCGATACCTCGCGCTTCTTTTTTCGTATATAGCAAAATAACGTTAGCATAGCAATCGGAAATTCTAATCTCTCTCCTTTTGAAGATGCTTGCATTCAAATATCATGGTTGAATGACTTTTAAATTCTTTTTACCCTTCATTCTAATGCACTTTGTACACTCGTGGACGCTTGAGGTAAACCTATGGTGATAAATCGGTCCAAGATACAGTCCGAAAGATCGTCTTCGATACATTCGCTAGATGAGAAAATGCTCGATAAACGAAAATGCTACAAAAATGATTCTTATTTCTCTTTCTTTTTCTCTCTGTCGTAAGCATAAAAGTATCGTTTGTACCATATAATTCCCTCGATCTTACGAACGCGACGAGTACATTTAGCATAACGTTAGAGTCCCATGAGCAGTTTTGCATTTTTCGAAATTTCACGAATTTTCAAATTCGTGAATGTCATTGCAAATAGCTGATGTATCATATTCGTAATCATCATCTATGTGCAAATTACTTTCGCGAGAGATATTCTCTCTCTCTCTCTCTCTCTCTCTCTCTCTCTCCCCTCCCTCTCTCATATTTCTATATTATATTATTATAACGTATATATATATAAAAAATGTATGTTCTACAAATCGCATATATACTTCATTATATTAAATATAATATAAATATTTATATGTGTTTATATATATATATATAGTTGATATATATATATAATTCACATATTAATATATCAATTAAGAATCTAGTCGATTGTTGAAGTAAATAAGTGTTAAAAATAGAACTTATATGTATGTGTGTTTTAAAGATGAGCTGTATCTTTTATAAAATATTGTCATATTATAAAGAATAGTTTTTACATATCGGATAACAAACGTACAAGAGACTTATTTATCTCTTGCATTTATATAAATAAAATATTTAGACAGCCAGATCCAGTAGCGAAAATAAACGTGTAAATACGGATTAACGTGCCACTGATACAAATAATATTTACGCTATATCTAACATATAATATTATAATCACACATAAAAATCAAAATTATAATGCTTATAGTCTACTATTAGGACGTTTTTCGTAATTACATATATTACACAAACCTGAGTTTATAATTTCATTTGCAAGCACAAAATAATTGTGAAAATTAACTTTATGAATTTTTCTCCTGAGATTTGAAATATATAAATTTACTTAGTATTCCTTATACAACTCCTCATACAATTATATACGCAATCATATGTAATAAAGTAAATTATGAATGTAATCAATGTTTATTAATAAAAAATTAGATTAGGTAACTCGTTTATGTAAATGTCAAGCAATAAAAGATAAAGATAAATATTTTTTTATATAAAATTCTAATGTTTTGTTTGTTTTTTTATGCAAATATTTTTTTACACAAATTATTTTGTTTCTCAAGCTGTAATTCTTTAAGGTATGAAAAAAGTTTATAGTTCATTGCGTATTCAATGAACTACAAAAAAAAAGAAAAATGCAATTATTCGCGCATGAGACTCTAATGTATAATTAAACAGTAAACAATATTATCTCTTTTCGAAATGTAAGATGAGATAAACTTTTTACAGAAGTCATCGTTTTAAAGCTGGTCCGATATATATATATATATATATATCCTTTTTGTGTAATAGAAATAGACATAGAAATTATATAATCTTGAGATGAATAATTAAATCGAAAGCAAATGCATGTCATAGCAACAATATTAATGTCGATCGAAATTCTCAAAGTTATTTCGTTCAATTTGATCCTTTATTAACTGGTGGAATGTTCTCATTTTCTTTAATTAATTCTACGAACGATTCTTCTATGTATCTTCCGAGCTTCTTTATTAAGAAACAGTTCGTTCTATATATCACTTTCGATCGTGACAATAACTTCGCACTCTCACGCGCTCTTCTACACACGAGAAATATATATTATATATTTATTTTTATAATATGTTTGACTTGTGATGTCACATACTCATTTTATTTTCGTACGCTTTTCGTGTTAATAAGATCGCATTGTTTGCAGAAATACGAATAGAATATTAAATACGACACCACCACTTCGTGTAAGTAATTGTAATCAGGTGCTAGAGCTTGCAATTCACAAGTTCGAGGAGTTTGCGTATTATTTGCCTAAGGGTTTTTGCAAGTCCCATTGTAAATAAGCAAGCGTGATGTATTCTATAAATAATACTACATTAAACATATCGATTATCTAATTCTTATTCCTGTTGGCAACAACGATACGTTTTTACGTTCGACACATATGTAGTATATAGACTATATTTTTATGCCTGTGCTGACAGTAATAAAAACGTCATTTTACTTTGTTCCAAATTTAAGGAACGTAATCATACAACACTCATACAAGTCAGTATTTATGAATTAGCAAAATATAATCACAGTATATTCTCGTAATATCAGATAACTAATGTGGAAATCGGAGATTAAAACAGATACATTCTGAATAAAAATATATTGAAGTTGCTCAAATCGCCAGATAATTTTCACATTCTTGCTAGATGATGAGACATGTATAGAGTACATAAGAAACTTGCAGTTCTATCTTAGGCAAATAGATCTTATCGTGTGATGTCATTTAGAAAGTACGCACATGAAGCTCTAACAGCTTGTCATACAATCAACAATAAGAATTTTCACATTTTTTTCAGTCTTATAAACAATACGTCGTTTTTGTAGAAAGCTGTGTCCACTTCTTCGTTCTAACGCTTTGTTCTATATCATATAGTATTCTGTATATTTGTAGTTTCTAAATAACATTCCGCGAAACTTGGAAAAATGGCTTCACAAACGATATCAAGAATCTTTTTCGATAAAAAAAAAAGATCTTTTGAAAGAGAAATACTGTCCAACTGATTAATCGACTCTATTCCTAATCAAAACACATGGCGTTACTTCGATAAATCTCTTGTCGATACGAAGACTTGATAAAAAGATCTACGTAGACGAGCACCAATTTAACGACGAGTATCCAGCATCCGTATAGGAGATGTTACAGAGGTGCTTCGGACGTAAAGGAGAATGTATGAATAATACCGATTCTCCGACCAATAGTAGCGTTACCAATGTAATTTCGTGCTTGTAAAGCTGAAATGTAATTTGAGTCCGATGTCACTTTAGTTATGCACTATGGTTGATGCATGTTGAAGTCTCTCGAGTTCTTCCAATGACAAGACGTTTGTTTGTGCAAGCTCTGGAAGCTTGCCAGCCCGAGCTTGAGCGAGAAGCTCTGGGCTGAACCATCGCGCAAGTTGATTAGATGTTGGCGAAAGATCACCTCCGTTACTACCCACAAATCCGAGGCCTGGTGAAGGTTGACGGCCGACTGCCATGTTCAACTGCTGCGATCGCATCGTTTGTCCATCTGTACATATAATTCAGTGTTGTAAAAAATATCATTTAAAAAAACAAGGGCAAATATTATCGTTATATAGATATATGCGAATTAATCACACAAGATACTAAAAACGAGAATAATTTGCCGATTTCATTTATATAATACGATAGCGTTATAAAATTTTCTAGCGTAAAGCATTTCAATGTAGTTAATAATTGTTTACTTAGTTTAATCCAAAGGAGGATAAATGACATCATGACAGAATTAAGTGAAGGAGAGCTAAGAATAATTTATTTTTCCGATTTCTGAACACCGTTGCATACAATTTGATTTGGGAGGGGAGAAACACCTGAAAATTAATGTAAATATAGGATAAGGAGGGAATTTAGTAAATATTGATGTTGATAGGTAGAAGTCGGGAATCGTTCGATTTGTTAGAAATTATTTCAAAACACTCATAGTTGGTACTTGATCGAATCATTACCTGTGCGATTAGAATTGTAGTTTTGGCTCATGATAAGTTGCATAGGCGTATTTACAGCCCTTTGCGGCGGTTGTTGTTGCATATTAACGGTTCCGTGCGATGGTGGTGGTTGTTGCATGTTAGCAAGATGCGTTGAGACTTGCTGTGTCTTCATCTGGGTATTCATAGGATTTGATCTCTGATTCATAATCGAGTTTTGCGCTATATTATATTGTGGAACATTATGATGCGGTAACGAAGTTGCCATCGTGTGTTTAGATCGTGCTGGGTTGCCATAAACATTCGGCACTGTTCTATGCTGTTGTTGGAATTCCGCATTTCCCGTATTATATTGGAACTGATTGCTGCTAGTGTTGCTGTTATTACCTTTTACTATAGGTCGACCTGAAATTAGAATTGTGACATTAAAAGTAGTTGTCAGCTATACCATATATTATCTTGAAACAAATATCTTTTGAACGATATATACACGAAAATAAGATTTTTATAATAAAAAAATTTCTTTACAATTTTATAAAATATTTAGAGAGATATTAACCTGGATGCTGTTTGAGAGATGGATTCGACCATGTCGATTGAACGGGTTGCGATCGCAATGCAGTATGTCGAGACAGAGCTCCCTGTGCAAGTAATTGAGCCGCAGCCGACTGCATTTGTTGCATCTGAGAAGCCTGAGTTTGTGTAGACAATTTGGGTGGCTCATTGCTGCTTCCTACATTCAGATACACAATGATTTTATAATGATAAACAATTATTTGATTTTATGGTTGAACATTTGAGATAAATACAAACGCTAATGCTTTCTTAATGTTAATGTTAATGCTTTCCTTTTCTTAAAAAGAAATTTAGCGTCTACAGTATAAAAAATCAATAAATTTTTTCGAAATTAAATGCTTAAATTTATGTAATTTTTAAATAAAATTTATATATGTACATATATATGTATATGTATGCATATATATATATATATAAATTATGTACATACATATACACCTTGTAAATCAATTAAATATGTATTAAATATTATTCATTGGAGTTCTCTATTTTACCATTTTCCTATTTTTCATTAATTATCTCATGATCATGATTTTATACATAATTACATAAAATTATGTTTTGTGTGAATACAGTGTTACATTGTGAAAATTTATATTGTGAATATAATATTAATCGTAATTGTAATGATTTCATAAGAATAATAATAAATGTAGCTGTTGTTAAATATTTATTTATATTACATTCATTTACTTTAATAGCGCATGCAATTTTGGCAAACATAAGGATCAAGCACAAATATGGCATAATTAGGAAAATGAAAATAGTAAGTTCAACATATATTGATAAAAGATGCAACAACAGGAGAAAGTGTGAGCATGTGTAAAAAAAGAAAAGTTAAAGCAGATGAGACAGGATCAATAAAGCTTTTTATTATAAAAAAAACTATTTCAACATTCTATTCAAAAATGTAATAAATCTATGTTAAGAAATGAAGAGTTTATTTTATAAAGTGCTTTTTTTAATCACATATAAAATAAAAATCATATTTCAAAATATGTCACATTAAACCTTTTAAACCACGCTGCGGACGTTAAACGAAGAAACAAAACAGCTGCTTTTCATTATAATGCAAAAATAATAAAAAGAAAAATATAGCTTCAAACAACAATTAAGAATTCGCTATTTTATGAAGTATTAATGTGCACTTTATCAAACTCCTCATCGACGTAACAGCACAATTAGACATTTTCACCGGTTGCGAGTAAAGTAACATTTTGCAAATCAACGTTCTTTATCTCGTCTGATGATGTAGATACGGTCACTTTATTTTCGTCTACCAACATTTCTAATTCAGATGATTTTTTTAGTGCCTCATCAAGCGAGACACAATCATTATTGTTGGTATCGTTATCATCATCTACTACATCAGACTTGGTTGTTTTTGCATCGTCGTTTGCATTTTCATTAACATCAAGGAAAACATTTTCCTTCGTTATGTTAATTTTCGAATTATCTTCTGTATCTTTTTTCTGCTGTAATGCGCACAAATATTTGGTCTTTAATGCCGATTCTTCCGTATCGAAAGTGGTATTATTACTTGTATGATTAGCTATAGCAGAATGCAGGAAAATCATTTTAAGAGTCTCATTTTGCACCTGATTGACAGAATCGGAAAACTTAGAGAGATTAATGGAAGAAGCCGCGGTGTGTATCGGACGATTATTTTGAAACATGCGAGAATTAATATTTCCATTAATTGCATGAGTGATAGAAGAGGTCGTTTCTACTTGGCAGAATTGATTCACACCGTCAGGTTCCTTATCAGCAGTCATTTTGCGTAAAACGGAGGTTGGAGTGAAAGCGAGCGGACTCGCTGTTTGCTTAGCTGGTGAATTAACTGGGCTCGACGTGCGCTGCTGCTGAACTTGTTGTTGTTGCTGCTGTTGTTGCTGTTGCTGCTGCTGCTGCTGCTGTTGTTGTTGATCCTGTCGCTTACGGAAATTCTCACGCTGCTCCTCCAACTTCTTCTTGATTAAAGCACTTTGCATTATAGACTGAGTATGCATAACAATCTCCCTTGGAGATGGTACTCTATGCGGTATCACTGTTACAATAATAATTTACAATATTAATTTTCTTGAAAATTTTTTTTCAATTTCAATAATATCGCCCATAATTTAGATTGAAATTATTTATCCAATTATATTACATTATTATTATGTAGCCTTTTTCTCATCTAACTTTAATCAGAAAGATTTATGTATTTAAAAGATAAAAGATAAAAGATAAAAGATAAAAGATGATAATATAAAATAATATAAAATAATATAAAAAAATTACAAAATACAGAGTTTAATGTATTTATTATATTACCTGGATGTTGTACTGTTAAAGTACTAGGATTAGCTGTTAAATTTGGTGATATTATCGGAGGTGGACAATAAGCTGCATTCCATATACAATACAAAATCATTCAATTTAATAAAAATTAGAGTTTCTAAGTTTTTACTGAACCTTTAGATGATAAAAAAGATTTAGAAAGGATATAGAAAGGATATTAACGTGTAAAATGTCTTACCGTTATTCATAGGAGATGGAATTCTCTGCTGTTGTTGCTGATACAGCATCTGTTGTAGAATGTGCTCTTGAGGGATAGGAGCAGCGGGATGAGGATGTGGACTTATCGTACGAGGTGTGGTACCACCATACATTTTTAAAATGTTCACCAGCACTTCTCGATGGCGATGTTGCATTGCAGGATTCTATCAAAGATATAATTTATATAATTAAAGGTTTTACTATACCTATAATAAATATATATTGGTTATTACAGATAATTATAAATAACTGACCTGCAACTGTTGTATTAGATGTTGCCTAGTGATCTCGCCTTGCTGTAAACCTTGAATGATTGCTTGAGCTTCCGGTCGTTGCAAAAGTTCTTGGCTCGACGGGACATTATTTATCATCATTTGCATCTCCGCTGGCACTGGACTGACACCTAACATCCGTTGATTACCCATCATCATTGATAGCATATCGGAATGTCGTTGTTGTTGCTTTTGTTGTTGCTGCTGCTGTTGTTGTTGCTGCTGCTGTTGCTGTTAATATTACATATTCATTTGTCAAAATTCATTGTATTAATCACTAAATAAAGAATGATGTATATCATACCTGTATTTGCAAGACTTTCATTAAATTCTCATGTTGCATCTGAACCTGATGGGGATGTTGAGTAGGACCAAGGGGACCAACGTGATTAAATGTTGTAGTATGAATTGGTTCTGCGGGCGGCTGCTGATGTGGCATTGATGACTGTTGGGTTTTCAATTGCGAATTAAGTAACTGAAAAACAAAGAATAAAAGAGATGCAAATTGTATGCGTCAATTAACATAGCAAAAAAATTAAATGTAACTTACTTGCATTAACGTTACAGGTTGTTTTTGAGTGATAGGTCCGTTAGCTGCAGGCACAGCTTGTCCTCCAGTCACTTGAGCAAGCTAAAAGAAATTGTTTTAATACATTTTGAATAAAGTTAAATTATCACATATCGACTTACCAGTTTCTTAAAAGCAGAGAGATCTTCAGTCTTATTTACACGGGGTGTATCAGTCGAAGTCGCAGGTGGAGGAGCACCACCCCGCATACGTGCTTCCAATTCTTCCAAACTATGCACAACTTTGCCACCAACTTCTAGAAAAAAATTTATACCTATATGTATCACTATAACTTGTTTACTTGACGACAATATTTATCCAAATATCTATCTTACCCAAATCTTTAATAGAACAATTTTTCATCATAGGTATAGCCGTATTACTCGCGTCACCCTGTCCATTTTGATTCGGCTTATTACCGCGATGTAACATTTCGAGTAACTTGACGCCATTTGTGGTCGTGTTAGCATTATTGGTCGTGTTGGCCGGAGAAATTGGTGCGAAGTAAGTATTCGATTCCGTCACCGATGGTATTTGAATATTTGGCTCGGTGATGTCGTTCAATAAATTGTTCAGCAATTCATCTTGTATAGAAGTTCTACGACTATCCACCTGTTGAACTGGACTTTCTCTTTTAAACCATTGGCTGAATCGCGAACCAGTACCACTATTCGATCCAACTCCATTCTAAATGAAAAGAAAGAAATCGTTTGACATAAAGAAGTGAAATGATTTCAAATGTTCAAGATACAAATATTATATGACTCACCGTCAATAATCCAGAGACGCCAGGGAACGTATCAGATTTCAGGAACTCATCCAGATTAAAATCTGGATGCGAGTCCTCTTGATTCTGATTTGCGCCAGAGTTCTCACCCGATTCGGAAGTCGGCTCGGTACTTTCACTGACATCATTCTCTTTGTTCTGAGTGATAGATTGCTCAGTTTGTTCAGAAATTGGAGAATGTGGCGCCGGTACAACGTTTATAGGTTGATCCATGACGGTTGGAGTGCTGCGTCCTTTAGGGCCCGCCGAGTTCTCATTCGATTTGTCTTCTTTCTCTGTGGCATTCCTCTTGCCTCGTTTCTTTTGCGCGGCAGTTTGTTTCTTACTCTTGGTATTACCACTGCTCACCACCTTTTCCTCCGGAATATCTTCAAAACCTCTGAGCTCAATTGTATCGTGTTGAGATGTAGGTCCCGAGCTGAACCATTCTGGCTCGTCCGAATCGCGATTGTCACTATAAGTCCGTCGACGATCGTTGCTGAATCTCTTTTCGCGTCCGCGGTCCTTATCACGTTCCATTTGATGATTATTCCGTTCATTTCGCTCCATTCCCCTATCGCCACGATCGCGCTCTCTTTCGCTACGATCTCCATAATCTCGGCCGAATGATCTCCGCTCAAACCTCTCGTCTCGCTCACGTAGATTGTCGCGATCGCGTTCCCTTTCCCGCATGTCACGATCTCTGTCTCGTTCCTTCCCGTCACGATTATCTCTGTTATCACGATCACGCAGAGAGCCACCAGCAGCCGTGCCTGATCTAAAACCATAATCCGCACGCTCAGAATCGATCTTTTCGTTTTCCGCTCTAAAGTCCCATATATCCCGTGTCAAAATCCTGCCGCTACCGATTCGACGAACTGGTTCACGATGGCTGACCTGTAAAGTATTTCATAATTATGTTTATAAACAGAATACAAAGCGATGTAAATGAAGGTAGATAGAAACGCATGTCTCGGAAAAAAAATAAATTGCGAAATGACTGCGTACTTCTGCTTTGCCAATCGGGCTCTCCGGACGTCGGTTTGGTGGCTGATTCACGTTAACAAAACATCCCGAATTAAAACTTCTCCGTTGGGGGCTCAAAACGATGCCGTCTTGCTCTTTACGTATTCGGTCTCGTGGATCGCCATTATTACGTCGCTTACTATGATTCTCAGTGATTTGATCACCACGTCCAGTTCTTTCTTCTTTCGGGGGTGTATCGCTACGCTTTCTATCCGAATGCCAACGTTCGGGATCCCAAACACCTCTTGAGCTGCAAAAGGAACAAAATATTAGTGATTAACGAGACAAATATCGATATCTCGATAATTTGAGAGACCACAAATTTTCATAACTTACTTGTTATAAGCGATATCCAGGAATGTAGGCCTACGTCTAGATAATCGCAAATTTTTTATCAGCATTAGATCCTCCTGGGAAAAAAAAATATATATATAGAAATATGATACATATATAACACACACACACACACACACATACAACATACAGGATGAATATTAAAAGTAGAACTTTTTATCATGAGAGATGAATATTTCACTTTTATGCATGGTCTCTTAAACCAGCAGCACACGATGCTTGCTTTCTTGCTGAATTGCTTACATTTTGGTAAATTATTAGAAATTTTGCATTCTGTGTGCAATTCTAATAATTTACTAAAACGCAAGCAATCCAGTAGGAAAACGAGTATCGTTGTGCCGCAGATGTTACGCTCTTTGCAGTCGATAATTCATCTTCCATGGTAAAAAGCTGATTCAACCATTAACATTCACCTTGTATATCGCAAGGAGCAAAACTCGGCATATCATTTGAGAAATTTCAACTTTTAAAGCAATATTTACCCGAGAATATTGAAACTGTGGTCTAGAACGGCCGACTTCCACGATTGAAGCGTCGGTTACTTCACCGGCCACCGACATCGATATAATGGCTTCATCTCCTGTAAAATAAAAAAAAAATAATATAAAGTAATTGTAATATGAGAAAAATATGGCTCGAACAGCTTTGTTGAGTGATCAAATCTCATGAAAATGTAACAGTGACAATCTGCCAAAAATTCCAACTGCACATTCTTATAAATGCGATCAGAAAGACTGGCGCAACGCGGTCGTACTTACGAAAGGTCACTCGCTTTAGAGGATTGATAGATTTGTTTTTTCGGAACCAACGGCAAGATCTAGTTTGCATAACCAGGATATCCAAAAAAGGAGACCCAGTTGGACCAACTAGCGGTCGTTTCCGCGGTCGACGATACCAATTCGAGCCGATAAATCGGTCGACAGCAACGATTCTCATTGTAATATCGTTGATCTTGCCTCAAATAAGCCGACTGCGAGAAAGCCTTTATCTGTTCAGCTGTTCTGCCCTATCTAACCGTTCGTGCTGTTTCCTCGCGCAACAACCGTCTCGACGATGTAAACAAACAGGTGAAGGGCAAACGAGGGTCAATAAATTCCCAAGATAAAGTTCCGTCACGAATACGTTGTTCCGTAAGTCAGAAAATGAGATTATTCTACACACAAACGATTCGTCTCTAAAATTTCTGTTCTTCAAGAATCAATAAAAAAAAAAACTCCAGCGAGATCTAATATATCAGTATAATCTGTCTCTTTCTTTCCCCTTTTTTTTCTTGGCCTTGAAATCGGCGAAACGATTTTAGCTACTCTCGTCTTGTCCTTTGAAGCAAAGCAGTTTATAAAAACAAATTCCTGTTTTTCTTGTGTTTCTTCGTAAAGAGGAAAAATATTAGATGTCCGACTTTTTGAATATACCAAGCTTTAGAATCACATATTTCTATTATCGAAATAATTATATATTTAACGTTAGATGTTATCAGTTCTCTCTGTGTCCACTGCCTGTATAACACTCGCACAACTTAATACAGAAGCAATATATGTAAACCGTCATGTAAGCAGAGTACAGTGCAGACTGGCCGAATCAAATTGTCTTCAGACGTTCAGACAAGATAACTCTCTCACAAGCCAATCAAAGCCTTCCTGAAAAGATCCTAGATAAGTAAGCACATGATTGGCCACAGAAATGATTTAAATGTAACTGATTCTTGTCTAGGGAGATTTCTAGAAATTACGATTATCTTATAACAAAAAATACACACAAATTCGCACAAATACACACAATGAAATCAGATCACACAGAATAATGCGTCCTGTTAGATATTAGAATACATGTAAAAAAATATTCTTTGTTCAATCTACAAATTTATGTATTTTATGCGGTACTTTGAAGAAAATGTGGAATTTTGTTAATTCGGTATAAATATTTGAAAGATGTGTTTGCTGTGTATGGATGAATAGACTCGAAAGACTATGAGAAAAAGAACAGAAATGATGAAAAAGCCAATCTTGATGCCACAGGTTTTAAACGATAAACATGTTAATAACAAAGGCAAAGAAACACAATTCCCATTTATATATCTTAAAAATAAATTAAAAGATGACAAACGATGAAGAAAAAAATTAAGGGATTAGTAAAAAGTGATAAAACAAGCTTAGGCTTATGTTGGTTCAGTTTTAACTTGCATACAGTAATCCATAGATTATTCTGTATTTATATGAGTTGCTTTCCTTTTAGGAGAGACACAGTCGACATAAACGTTGTTCTATCCTTTTTTGTTGTTCAATGAATAACAAAAATAGAACGACATTTGTATTGACTGTTCCCTAAAAGAAATTAAGCAGATCGAAAATAGATCGCTTTGTACATTAAAGTAAGTACTTTAATCTTTTGTGATATTTCAGCAAGCAAACTGTAGGAACATCAGAATGTGTTCCTTCAAATTCACGTCAAATTTCTATCTCACAAAAATTGACATTGGATCCACAGTTTTATTACGTTTTCACGTTTGAATTTTCTACTTTTTCTCTGTTTTCAGCATGAAGAATGTAACGTTTAATAAAAGAGATTAGGTCTGTTTTCTGTGGCTAAACTAGTGTACATTTTTGAAACTTAAAGTGAGATAGATATATATGTGTTTGATATTTGTCGAAAACGAGAAAGAGAGTTCTAGTGCAGTCTAGTGCAGGAATAGAAAACAAACTGATTGACGTGAGAAAGAGAGAGAGAGAGAGAGAGAGAGAGAGAGAGAGAGAGAGAGAAAGGAAGAGAAATGTTCATTTCCATCAATACAGATTAACTTTAATTTTGGTTTAATTTACTTTTTATCTTTTTCTTAGAACAGGATAAAAAGTTAAACCAAGATTAAAGTTAATCTAGCTACATTTCAAAACATCTCTGAGGAAAAAAGGTTTGTTCTTTTTAGCTGAATTTCTTGCGCACAGTTCATCTTTTTTGTTTTTTCTTTCCAACAAGAAAAGAAAAAAAAGGAAAGATAAACTGTGCAAAAAGTTCAACTAAAAAAAAACAAGTACAGTTACATGTATCATTAATTATATATTTCCTCGGAGAGGACGTTTTGGAATGTAGGCTTACATTAGTAAAACCGAACAAGAAAAGGAAAGAGAATAGACTTATCGTAAACGAGCGAAGTCGCGAGGTTATCTACCATATATCCCTGGAGTTCCAGCATCGCCTCCGAAACGAGGGACGGAATAAAGAAAATAAAATAGTCGATCAATCGACTCGTACCTTCTTCCTTCTTCGTGGCCGCCGTCGCAACCGCCGTCACCGTCGTCGTAGTCTTGGTCGACGCCGTTGTCGCCGTTGTTGTTGTTGTTGTCGTCGTCGTGGTGGTCGTCGCCGTCGGCGGTGGCGGTGGATGCTGCTTGTCACTTGTCACAGACTCGACGGACATCGCGCCGTTGATCGCGTCGGCCTTTCGTCGATCGCCGGAGGGGTAGGATGGGGTGTCCTGCGCGGATACCGGCGTTCCCGTCCCCTGTGATTCGCTATCTTCCCCGAGATGCGATCTCTATCTATGTCTCTCGTACACCATACACGAGCGGTGGCACGTAACACACCCGTACACACATACACACAGAGCACGCAAAAATGTGCGCGCGGGCGCGCGTGCGAGTGCGACACACACCACACACACACACACACGCACGGGACGCGCGCGTTCGCTCTAGGTAAGCTCGCACGCCTACACGCGCATACTCACACACACGCACACGGATACACGGGACGCGCGCACCTTCTTATACTTATTAGTTTACACCTCTAAATATATATATATATATGCATATATATTGCTAAGTACTGCTTAGTATCACAGACTGGTTTTCCCTTTCTACGTATCGTGGCTCGGCCAGCGATCGACGAAGCTTCGACGAGACGATGTGTCCTTCTTTTTGCGACCGTTTCGACAGCGAGATGAACGATTAGTGGACAGGAGAAAGAGAGAGAAAGAGAGAGAGAGAGAAAGGGGGGAGAGGAGAGAGAGAGAGAAAACAGAGAGCAAAGAGTGTGTTTATTGGAATAAAGGAGATTGCAAAGGGGGGGAGGAGAGAGAGAGAGAGAGAGAGTGAGTTTACACGCGAAGCTGCGTAAACGAATGGGCCCTGACGATTCTGCGAATGGTACGATCGCAGGATCTTTTCGTCGTGTGTCGCTCAACGATCATCTCATGTCACAACACGGCCCATATAAGTGTAGCAGCTCGCCGCCGATCGTCGTCAGTCCATCGATCTCCGTATCACACACAACAAAATAAACGGCTCGTGTACACACACGCGCGCACGCACTGGTTTCTCACTCGCGGTGCTATGCAAAAATAGAAAATGGCTGCGCGATCCCCACTTCTGCCGCCGCTGTTTCTTCTGAGCCCGACCGATCGCCTGGCTCTTTACTCTTACTTGCCTCGCCTGCTTTACCTTCCTGCCTCCGCGATCCCACGCAATGTCTAGCCGAACGTTTCTCGCCGAGGGGGATCGGAAACAAGGAGATGGAGTTTGCAGCAGAAGTTCCAAAAACACGATGGAAAGGGACGGACGATATGAGGAAGGCGCTGTCATCGATGAAGGTTCGACTGGGTCAGACTGGGTTCGACGTTCGACGGGCCACTAGAATTCATCGACGATTAATGCCTGTTCACAATGGGTGCATTCGGTACTACGACCGCTCAGTGAGCTCTTGCATTCGATTGGCATATTCCGTTAGAACTAAAAATATAGACCAAACAGATACAAGGGATGCAATGGGTGCATTCAGTACTACAGCTCAGTGAGCGCTTGCATCTTATTGGTATATTCCGTTAGAACTAAAAATATAGACCAAACAGATACAAGAGCTCACTGAGCGCTCAGTGAGCGGTCGTAGTACTGGGTGCGTTCAGCAGAACGTTTGTTTTGCAACTGTTGTAAGTTTCCTTCGCGCTGATTGGATCATACTTTTAGATCTAGAAGAATGGTCCTATCTCAGCAGACAATCATAAAACGGTCGCAAAACTGTTGAGTCTGCTAAACGCAGCTACTGAATGCACCCAATAGGTGCCACGACCACTCACTGAGCGCTCAGTGAGCTCTTGTATCTGTTTGGTCTATATTTTTAGCTCTAATGGAATATGCCAATCAGATGCAAGAGCTCAATGAACGCTCAGTGAGCAGTCGTGATTCTGGATGTACCCACTAATAACAGCGAGCGCTCAACTGTTGAATCCGCTGGATGCATTCGGAACGGCTTGAACACTGGCCAAAGTCTTTTGAGCGCGTTCTATTTTACATTTGATGCACATAATTGTGTTATTTTATCCTTGTTGTTCACCGAATATTAAAGAAGGATAAAATGATTTATGCGCATTATGTATAAAACTGAACTTTATTTCAGTGAAAAAAATTTTTAACAGTTACAAAATAAACATTTTACTCAACGTAGCCAATCACGGATCTAAAAACGGAAAAACAGTTGTTTAATGCTTTTCATACTTTGCCTTCAGCAAAATGAAATCCAACGTAATTCGAATGAATTCGCTATAAAATTTAAACGAACCTGCACTCGTATCAAAATGCTAAAATGTGTTTTCATTGAGAGAGAAATGAAAAAAGAGAAATTTGCAAATACATAATCAAGAAACTATCGCCCGTGATTGGTGCGCACCTCCAGGCGATTGATTATTGGCCAATTGAGAATCGCTGTATTTTCTGAACCAATGACGATTCAACGATTTCTCATAACAGGGAGCATACAATTTAAAAGCCATACAACGCACGTGTTAATTTGCATTTTTAATATTTATGACAAAACGATAAATTACAAGTTTTTTGTTATGATTGCAAGACATACTTATCATAATGCGAAGCTTTTTACAAATGTTTTATCAAAATTTTATTGTAAGTATATGCTAAGTTTGGTTATGTCTGTTTAAAGGGATAAAAGTTTGTTTCAAACGTTTTAAATTATAACGATTGTGTTAGGATGTTTATCACGTTGCAGTCTCGAACCTCACGTTTGTTCCAAAATGTTCTCCAGTGTCAACAGAGGATGTGATGAGATTAAAAGAATTTGTCGATAAATATCACCATCTATGCGTGTTAACTGGAGCAGGAATATCCACGGAAAGTGGTATCCCCGATTACAGATCAGCCGAGGTCGGTCTTTATGCCCGAAGCAATCGTAAACCAGTTCTTTATAAGGAATTTTGTAACAACGAAGCAATCAGAAGACGATACTGGGCCAGAAATTATATTGGATGGTCAAGGTTTGTTTTTTTGTAATTCAAACACATACGTACACACATCCGTACATTATTTTAAAAAATTAATAGAGATGTATCAACATCTCTTATCAGCATATATTTATAGGTTTTCCTCTCTTAAACCAAACATTACGCACGAGATACTGAAACATTCAGAATATGTTGGAAAGGTGGGATGTATCATTACACAGAATGTAGATAATTTACATTTAAAGGCAGGAAGTAAGAAGGTGATTGAGCTGCACGGAACAGCGTTCAGAGTAATGTGTCTGAATTGCAATCATAAAATAAGCAGATACGAACTTCAAAGAATATTTCAAAAACTCAATCCTTCTATGATCGCAACTACCCAGATGATAAGGCCTGATGGTGACGTAGAATTGTCACAGGTATATACAATAGTCATATTTGTATATATGTACATATATACTTGCAATGGCTGCGTTCAGCAGAAAAAGTAGCTTTGCAACTGTTGTAAAATTCTTTAATATAATTGGTTTATACATTTAGATCCAATGAGGAACTAAGGGCAAGAACAATCGTATTAAAGAATTTTACAACAGTTGCAAAGCTGCTTTTTCTGCTGAACGCAGCCAATGTTTTAAATGCTATGTGTATTATTTTGAATAAAATATATTTGACAGGCACAAGTGGAAGGCTTTAATGTTCCTGCTTGTGATAATTGTGGTGGCATATTAAAACCAGATATTATATTCTTTGGAGACAATGTACCACACGAGAAAGTACAAAACGTGAAAGCTAATGTAGAAAATTTAGACGCTTTGCTAATTCTAGGAACAACTCTTAGTACATTCTCTGCATACAGAATTGTATTGCAAGCGATTGATGCCAAGAAACCAATAGCAATAGTAAATATTGGCGAGACTAGAGCTGATAAGTGTATAAATTTAAAAGTAGAAGGAAGATGCGGAGATATTCTACCAAAGATTTGGCAGCTGAATATTTCAAAGGATTGTATAAGATGATGACAAAAGTGAATAAGTTTTAAATTATACATTAATTTAACCAATTATTAAATATTATCAAGGATACTGTACAGTGTATTATAATATTTTATTGTTACAATTATTGATTTTTTAAATATATGTATTATAACATTTTAATAGACGTTCAATTTAAAGAAATATAAAAATAATTAAACAAATGGAAATTTCTTGGAAAATTGTATGTTCCTTTTATTTAATTCTGTAATCATTTCCTTGAATATACCATAAGTATTTGTAATACATTAATTTTATCAATGGGAAGACTTTGCCTCCTTTGCATTTTGTAAACTTTGAGTAATATACAATTTTGCTAAGCTTTGAGCACAGAATTGCGAAATATGTTCACTGTATGTGTTAATTTGTCCAGCAACAATCATTGGATTTAATCTTGGCGGAACTGGGAGGGGTCTCATCAACTTATTGATATCATCATCGGGTAGCGGTGGTTCGTCCTTTGCAGCCCTGGCAGCGTTTTCTTGAGCCCTCTTGGCCAAGAGCCTATTCTTATCTTGCTGCTGTCGAACCACCAATTGTTGGTATCTATTAAATTTCATCGCTTCCTGATTCAATTCATCCACTCGATCCATCAAGCATCTCAACTGGTTCTCTAACACTGTGGCTGTTCCAAGATCCAGATACTTTGTACCCTGTTCCTCAGGAATCATTTCATCCAATTCCGACATCATGATATTCGTCAGATTACTGTTCTTTATAACTACTGGGATTTCAACAAAGAGACTCTCGTATCCAATCTTTAAAGTGCGCAGAGCTTCAGGAGTAAACTCGTTTTCCTTGTACATCTGTATCGCTTGTGGAGTGAGTCGATACGCTTTAAGAGTCAGGAAACCCCTGGCAGATTTTGCTGTGTCATAAATAAGCACAACTGATTCCTCGATAGAAGTTTGATAGTGGTACTGCGATTCCAGCAAGGATAGATTCAAAAAGTTGCCGACGTCTGCACTCTGATACCAACCAACATGGAAGTGGTCGACGTTCACCCTAGGTATTATTAAACGTATCAGCAAAATAATATCTTTGCAATAATTTCTAAAGCACAGCTAGGCTATTTCTGAACATCCACATTGACACTTACCATCTCAGTCTCCGCATCATGGCGAGCTGATACTCCTCCTCATCCATGATCTCATCATTCTTGGGAAATGGGAAACAATTGGTAATTTCCAAACGGTTCTGCACGACCAAACCAAGGAGAGCACCCTGGGCGACTTCCATGTTGCCAGAGGATTCCTCATGGCAGTGCTTCACCATCTTCATCACCACCAGCCCGTCGCATTGTACGTAGTCAATACGCGGTTCCGCCTCGGGAATCCTTCTCGACGTCGTCCTCGAAACCATTTCTGATAAATTTCTCGTAGTTACAAAAAAGCTACGTTCAACCACTCGGCCAACCGATATCGGGAAAAGTTAGGTGAAGAAGACAGCACGCTGATCGTGATGTCACTACATGTCCTTCTCCTTCCTCTTCTTATGTGGCGTTTTCATCAATGTTGTCGCCAGAAATGAGGGTGCTTGCTATCGTTAGCCAATCAAAAAACTCGCGATGCAAATATTAGTTTCGACACTTAAGTATCGGCCTTTAAATAAGCTGGATTCACACTGCATCCGATTTTCGTCGTACGACGCTC